CAGCTTCGGCTGGTCAGGGCTCCGTCTTGATTTTGACTCTCTGACTTGTTACTGACTGGACTTGACTCTGTAGTGCCGGATGACTTGCGGCTTGTTTGCGGATTGACATAATGCTTCTTCGGTGGACTTCGTAAAGAACTGAAGAGGAAACGGAAGTCCAGTCAGAGGAGGCGTAACTTTGATATTTGCATACTCAGTCTCAAGGCTAGAAGGCTAAGTTAACCCATGATTGGATTCCCTTCGCAGCACCCATAGAAGGACCGTTCAGGTAAGACAACGGTCAATTTCATGCAGTTCTTGAAATATTTGATCTAATCTATTTATTTTCAGGCTGGGTTATTATATCTACACTAATTTTCTGACATCCGGGTATTCTGACAGACCCAGTGCTTTGCTGGCAATTGAGGACAAAAAATTGAAGCTTATTCTATCCTACTATGAGCTAGCCTATTTTTCTGGCATGATATAATGGAAGGTTGGTACTGTGTTTCCCCAAAAATACTACCTGTCCTGAAACTAAAGCCTTGCCACATATTTCGGGTGGGCAAAAATATTACCACCACCATCCCCCCCTGAAAATAAGCCCCCTGGACAATCCCCCCCTCCGGCCAGGCAGAGCACCGCTTGCCAACCTGGCGGTATCCTGAAGGCAACAAGCCGCGGGAACGATGTGGGGGGCAAAGGTGCTCATGTTGCTTGATGCTTTTGGGGTACCGCCAGGTTGGTCAGCGGCACTGTGCCCAGCTGAAGAGGGCAGCGCAGTGCTGCGACAGCGCAACACAGCCATTTGACCCTGAGGTTGTGCCCAGCTCTTTGGTAGCCCAGTTGTAAGGGAGCAGCCACTCGGCAACCCAAAAACAATAAGCCCTCCCCTTTAATAAGCCCAAGGCCATATTTCATGGGTCAAAAAAATATAAGACCCTATCGTATTTTCGGGGAAACACGGTAGAATTTAGGAACATTTGACAGGTCCTTCTAATGTTCCTATTCACAAATTTTACATGGTTCCTTCTACTTTTCTAAGCTTAGGATTTCTTGATATCTGGAAAACTAAACTTGGAAATTAACTAGAAAGCAAAAGGAGAATCCAATATTATACATAGAACTCTCACTAGACAATTTGTGAATTAATTTGATTTTTTTATTCTTTAGAGAGTAATAGGGAAATACTATATAAGACTGTAATTACAGGTGATTTCTCACTTCAAAATTAGGTATTTTTAAGTTATTTTGCAAATATTGTATCTAAGCATGTCGCCACCTTGAGACATCTAGTTTGAATTTGGATTCAAGTTTTATTAACGCTTTTAACAACTTTTTTTTCTTTTATTCCCCCCCCCCCTTTTGCATTTTTTCTCAGGTAGTAGAAATGTATTCAAGTGGGGGTGATCTTCATCTAGAGCTTCCAACTGGCCAACAAGGAGGAACGAAAAAATTGTGGGTAAGTGATAATTCATTGATGTTATTATCTGCTTTTGATGACAATCAAAATTAAGTACGGCGTAAGCTTCTATGGGCAAAGCACTAGAGCTTCTTTAGATCAGGGGCGTCAAACACAATTTCATTAAGGGCCGCATAAGGGTTACATTTGACCTCTGGGAGTCAGGGGGTGGCCATGGCCAGGGTAGGTATGACCAGCTGAACATCATTTGTGTCGGCGCACCTCTGGTGGCCTACTGCTAAGACAGGACCCTCAGATCCTTCCTCGCTCTCATTATAATCCCCTTCCTTCCTTTCTTCCTTTTCCTTTTTACTTCCTTCTTTCCTTCCTTTTCCTTTTTTTTTCGTTCCCTCTTCATTCTTCTTTCTTCCCCACTTTCCTTATTTTTCCTTCCTTGCTCTCTTCCCATCTTTCCCATCTTTGTCTTTCCTCTTTCCCTTTCCCTGTCCCTTCTTGCATGCTCAAATGCAAAAGGGGAAACATTTCTCCTTATCTTTTCTTTTTAGTTTCTTTTGCTAGCCCTCTGCCTGTGAAAAGGGAGCCCAGGGGGCCATGTGTGCTCCCCGCGCCATGTTTTTGGCCACGACAGCCTTCTGCAGTTGTCTGCCAGTGAAAATGGAGCTAGCTTATTAATTATTGCTTTTGTTTGTGTGAATGAAGTATACAGTTTTCAGAAATGTGAAAAGCATAGAGAAGAGGAAACACAGACATATCCTCAAATTATGACCACAATTTAGTCCAACATTTTCATTGCTTAGCAAGGCAGGTGTTAAGTGAGCAGTGCCCCATTTTATGACCTTTTTGCCAGAGTTGTTAAGTGAATCGCTCCAGTTGTTAAACGTATCATGCAGTTGTTAAGCGATTCCTTCATTGATTTTGCTTGTCAGAAGACAGTTGGGAAGGTTACATATGGTGATCACTTGACCCTGGAAAATTGCAATTGTCGTAAATACATGACAGTTGCCAGAATTTGATTGTGTGATCCTAGGGATGGTGCAATAGTTGTAAGTGTGAAAACTGGGCATACATCATTTTTCAATGTCTTTGTAACTTCGAACTGTCACTAAACAAATGACCTACCTAGTACAAATTGAAACCTCTTTATGTTTCTTTATTATGATTAGAAGCATGGTTATAGGTTTTTATATAGTGATAATAATCTCTAATGGTAACTTTCTATTAAATATATAATCAACAGATCAAAATATACTCAACATTATATTAAATGGACTTCTGAACCTTTAATTTTTTGACTCACATTTTCCACTATTGTCTATTTAACAGGAAATCCCTCCATATGAAACTAAAGGAGTAATGAGAGCAAGTTTTTCTTCAAGAGAAGCAGATAATTACACAGCATTTATTCGAATAAAAACAAATGCCTCAGATACTACAGAGTTCATTATTCTTCCAGTAGAAGTAGAAGTTACAACAGGTTTGTGGTATAGTTTTTAATCAGTTCCATTTATTTTTCTTCTCTGGTGTAAAAGAAGCTAATTTTGATTATTTTCTTTTAAAGCTCCAGGAATTTATTCATCAACAGAAATGCTAGATTTTGGTACTTTAAGAACACAAGGTAAATCCTACCTTTGAATATTTCTCATAATGATTATTGATTTAATTACACAATTTACATCCTATCTGAATTCCCATATTTATGTTGGCACCTGTACATACTATAAAAATGATCATTTAAAAGAAAACACATCTTTAAATCAGCAGCACATCAGTCACCTCAAGCCTAAAAGTTTGATGGGGAACAGCCACACTACTAGTAAAATCTAAAAGTGGGAGGGCATCTGAACTGGGGGAAAGTGTGTTCCAAAATGACAATTTTCTACGCCACAAAAACCTGCAACTGAGCGTTGACTTCTATATATCTGGAGAAAAGGAGACCAGCGATCTGTTCAGTTTATAGAAGTAGCAGTAACACAGTCTCAAGGTAATGAAGGCCTCAATGCCTCTCTTTCAAAATAGTAAAATTTGTGCATTAAAGCTTGAAAAAGGTTGTCCTAGTCATGTTCTCCACCAGCAGCTAAACAAAAAACTATAAATCCAGAAGTCTTTATGTCATGGGCTTCTTCTTTCAAATAGTGTGCAATCAAAGATTAGTGTAAGGACTCCTCCAAATCTGATTGTTTCTGAAGAAATAATAACTCACATTTTGTTGTGATTCAGTTTCAGTTGTTTTCCCTCATCCAGACACCATGAAATAAGAAGAAAAGAATCAAGCCCTAAATAACCAGTATAGGAATTCCTAAAGATCCAATTATATCTCTCTCATTAGTGCAAACCAATGCTTTCCACCCTCTTATGCAGACGAAAAGAAATGAGATACCATTGTGGAATTCATTTTTGTTCTGTTGTTTAGTTTTGATATGTAATCATTATCTCTCAGATAGTTATAAATATGGTGTATAGATATATTGATTGCTATAGTAAAGAAAAAGGGAGCATTTTAAATAATCTGTTTATCAATTAAGGATTTCAATTTTCTAATTAAGACAATAAAATGCTCTTGTCCTTGGGAAACCAAAATATATATATTTACAGCTAAAATTAGTTAAGTTCTGGTTTTGGGTACTAAAGTACTTATAATATCTTCTATATGTCTCAACAGATCTGCCAAAAATTTTAAATCTACATTTGTTAAATTCAGGAACAAAAGATGTACCAATAACTGTAAGTACTGCCTGTGTAATTCCACAATTCATTATAACTTTCCTTTGTTTTGTACACTTATATTTATATTAGTGACTTTGGGCCAATAACTCTCTCTCGGACCACCCACCCCCATACACCCAGAGTTGTTGTGGAGAAAACAGGAAGTAGCATTAGGAATGTTTGCTGCCTTGAGTTATTTATAAAAATAACAAGGGAGAGTGAAGAAGGAAGGAAGGAAAGAAAGAAAGAAAGAAAATTAGAAGTCAAAACTTGGGTTCTGAAAGTTTGGCTCCCCTTTTCTTATGGCATGTGATGAAATAATTTGGATTCCCAGGAAGGAGGGGCTACATTCCAGAGAGCAAAGAGGCATCAATACCATTGAAGTTTTGATCTTTGGGAAGAAGATACTGTATATACTCAAGTATAAGCCTAGTTTTTCAGCCCACTTTTTGAGCTGAAAAAAGCCGCCTCGGCTTATA